TTGTCATTTTTATAATCCTCGACTGGTTTCGAATACCTACGTTTCTGAGATGCTTTAATTGGTTTCTTTTGCTTGTTCACGTATGCGCATTCCCTGTCATCGGAGTCGGATCCAGGAAACGAAGCGGTATATTCCGAATGTGAAGACTCATCCGGTGAATCATGTATTGCCGAAATTTCCCGTGGCACTGATCGCTGTCTATCCGAACGGGTTCTTTCCGGACGGGGTGTGACAACAATGAACGAATGTGGTGCAATTCGCTGAGCGAACTCACGCAATTGCTCAACGTGTGGACTTGTCGAGTGTGGACGAGTTCACGCAGATGATCGGATAAGGTACCAATGATGATATCGAGGTGGTCCCGTGCATCCAGAGCACAGGAATCACCCTGCAATTGGAATGTCAAGTCATACTATCCACCCCCGAATTTACCGGAAGACCATATCACACTGAGAATATTCAACCAGTTTGAGAATGTTTAACGAGATTACTTTGATACGAGTTTCAAATTTTATTGGGAATGCAGTGGCGTAGCCAGGATTTGGCGAAGGGGGGGATTAAGAAAAATTTGCATCTATAACTTAAAGTTGTGATACACAATGGCTAGAGGCGTCGCACTATAGGCAAAACACGAGTTTTTTTTTCAAAATCGTAGATCTTCGCTTTGAAAAGAGATAATGGAATGAAATTTTCTTTATCGTGAAGATAAATGATCATATAATATAGGAAAACTATAGAGAAGTTACAACAACAATAACTTAACCCATTCCACTAAAAAACACTATATTTAATACACCATTAGCACTGTTTCTGAAAGATTTCTCTTTATCTTATCGTAAGGCTCAATTCTTGGGACATTGGATGCTGTATCCGAGTGGCCAGATTGGCAAAAAGAAAAGCTACCTTTAAACTCTATTAACTCGTCTGTTTTTGTTGTTTTTAAATCGTCTATATTTCGACTTCAGTCTGAAGTCATCATCAGGACTGCAATAAATATCTTAGTTACAAAAATTGCATAAAAGACTATCAACATACTGTATATAAGCACAACTTACACATTCGGCTGCGCCTGGTAGACTAGCGTGTGCAAAAATCAAAAGATTTAACAAACCAAACAATGAGACGAAATGGACATAAAAATATAAACAAATGAAAGAACAGTAATTGTAAACAAAAAATCAAACAACATTGCATTGGACGGCACACAGTACGACATAAATATATATGCAAATCATCCAGCATTGCAATGTTATCATAGACGAAGTTCGGACACGGAACGAATAATAGACAATATTAGGCTTATTTGTTGTGCCTTAATATTATGTTGCGGTAGACATGTGCACAGTTTTCAGTGTCTGTTTTGAAATTCATCCTTTTATCATTAGGGGTGTTCACAATGTGGAGCATTTCTAATATAAAGCGTTTGTGGTAATTTTTCTCTTCTTCTAAGACACTCACATTATCAAAATCAGGGTAATGTCCCGTGTCTTTACAGTGGGATGACAAGGCCGTCTTGTTGTCCGAGTAAGTGTTCCTTAATTTTACGTTCGATTTGTGAGCGGAAATCCTTGTCTTAAGTTTTGATTTGGTTTTCCCCACATATACTTGTTTGCATACGTGGGACCCGTCGCC